CCTTGGTAGGACATTTTGCAAAAAAATGGGATTTTTGCTACTTGTTATGCAGCATGTCATGTCATCTGCTCCTGCTAATTTCTCACTCAGTCATAATCCTCTCCACAGTCGCTTGTGATTTCAGGTGAGCAATGAGCAGCAGGAGCAGATGAATTCCTAAGCAACTGTGAGTCTTGGGGGGGGTTTCATGCAACTGTTCCTAATAATAAAACACCAGGTAGGAGAGCTGCAGAAGAGACAGGGTGTCTGCAGAGCTCGCTCCACGGCAGCGTTAAGGAAGCAGTTCAAAACATCATCCCAGATTTGTCAGTGCCCCCAGCACAGTGCTGGATGCACAGGCTCACCCCATGTATCATCGCCTGTGTGATGAGAGCAGGGGGAGTTGCTGGAGGAGATGCTAAGAAGCGTTTGGGTGCACAGCAATGAGAGAAATCACTATAAGCCGTGCAGGTTTTAGGAGAAATGAGCAGCAGGGCTGTAACAGCCTGTGTTTGGAGCTGTCGTATTGCAGCGATGGTGTGTTGGAAATGCTTCCATTAGATAAGGTTTGTGGAGGTGGGGATTTAGGTACTGATGTGGCTGCTGTGGGTTGAACACGGTAGGAGTCCCATTGGTATTCCTGGTAGGCATCCCTGCCAGGAGCAGGGAGAAAGGGATGAATTCAAGACAGGGAGCAGAAGTTTAGCTGGGGTGTGGGGAAGATCAGTAGAAGAAAATGCCCTGAAGCCTGATGCCGTCAGGTTCTCTCCCCCCATAAGTACCATCTCATGAATTTCTGTGCTCGTCTGGCTCAGCCATGCCCCCGTGTTTGTCCTTGCCTTGCAGAACATGTCCCAACTGCCTGCGCTCGGGTGGATGCCCTGCGCTCCCATGGCTATCCCAGAGAAGCTCTCCGACTAACTGTTGCCATAATCAACACCCTGCGACTGCAGCAGCAAAGGCAGCTGGAAATATATAAGCATCAGAAGAAAGGTATGAGTAGAGTTATGGGAGAAGTGTCTCACGAGGTCTGGCTGGGGTATCCCAGCTGACTGAGAAAGTCGTCTCCACCTCAGAGAGTAGTGCTGCCCCATCCAGAGCAGCAGAGGTTGACGGTGGGCAGCGCTGTATGGGATTACTCACACCCTAGAAAGACAAACTGATGCATCTGATTGCTTAAGCCAAACTGTGTTGGCATCCACACGCTAAGGACAGAGGTGCCCAAAGTGCTGTCTTCGGGCTGCTGGAGTAGGGATGTCCTTGTTCCCACTGTCGCCATGTCTGGTTGCTGTAAGGATTGCACAGGCAAGTGATGCCTGCATGAAAGAGGAACTGCTTGTCTGCAGAGCTGCAGTAACTGGCTGCATGTGCTACCTCCACCCTGTATTCGCTGAGTAAATTGTACCAGGAGGCAAGCCCAGTGTTTCTCCTTTTGCAGTTGCAGTTGGCCGGGAGCGGGGTCAGTTAGCTCAGTGCTGCTGGTGGTCAGGGACTTCTGGACCTTGCTAGCTCAGCCAGCTTGAGATCATCAAAAGATGGAGTTTTTAAGACTCACTGGGAGTCTTTGTCATCTCTGGAGAGATTTCTGCTTGTGTTTCCAAAACATTCAGGCTCTGAGTCCATAAGCTGCAGGTCTGACTTTATAGACCCCATCTTGGGACTCTGCAGTCCTTCGTGTCCTCCTGGAACAGAGAACAAGCTGCTGCATCTTATGTGGCCTTAGGGGCACCTTCTTTTGTTGGGTGCCTGCTCCCTCTGATGTCTTTGGCAGTGTGCACGGGTGGCTGCCCTGAGCTGCTCCTTGCCCTCGCGAACTACCATGCCAGAGTTGGCTCTGGAGGTCCCCGTGTCCCAGGCCGTGGGGTAAGAAAAGGCCTCTGGTCTCAGAGACCCCTCTGGGTGCAGAATCTGTCTTTAAATTCCTCACTTTTAATGTCTTTCTGTTCCATTTTTTGCAGAGCTGCTGCAGCGAGGAGCAACAACCATCACCAACTTGGAGGGCTGGGTAGGCCACCCTCTGAACCCCATCGGCTGCCTCTTTCTCACCCTGACTGAAGCTTGTAGATTAGAAGAGGAAAATTGCCTTGAAATTTCAGGTACCGAGCATTCCTCCTGTCTCCCTTCCTGGTGGCTGCGGCTGAACCGAGCCCCTGGGTGCGGGTCTGGGGCTTGGGACTCCTGGGCTCCGAATCTCCCCTCTCTCCACCTTTGCAGGAGCAGCCAGGACAGCACTGCAGTGCAGAGAGGGGGAGTTAGTGCCCTGAGTTTTCCCAGTGAGGTTTCCCAACCCAGTTTTAATGGTTTGCAGCCAGAGCCGAGCAGGAGAGTGGCTTAGCAGAGCTGGGCTGAGGCATCGCAGCCCGCGGGAAGGCTCTGATGTCAGCTGTGCACCCTATTGCACGGGGCTCGGGTCTCCTGCATCTCCTAGTGAGAGCAGGAAGGAGGTGAAGCCCACATCTCCTGCAGGGAGGTTTTATCCGTCATCTCTGGGTAACTGAAGGCAGGCAGGGAGGTAAGCATGGGTCTGGCTTCTAAAGTTGAGAGGTTTTTCTCTCTGCTGTGGTTCTGCCACCTAGGAAGGCTCTTCTAACCTTGCTGCATCTCTCCCCCTTCTTCTAGATGCCGGGGACTCCAAACCCCCAGTGTATCAACACGTGCCCATCGCGACCGGCAGTCAAGACAGCAGCGAGTCCTACCTGTCCCTGGCCTTAGAGGTGGCCCTGATGGGGATGGGTCAGCAGAGAGTGATGCCTGAAGGTCTCTATGCCCAGGACAAGGTGTGCCGCAACGAGGAGCAGATCATCGCCCGGCTGCAGGACCTGGAGCTGGACCCGGTGCTAGTGCAGACCCTGCGGAAGCAGTGCATCTTGCTGCTGGAAGGTGGGGGCTTGGTCCATCTAGCTGGCTTCTGTGTCTTAGCTGAGTGTTAGTAACATCTCCAGGGTGCCCTTTCCAAGGTTTACGCCTGGCTGACCCCATCTTGGCTTCTTCCTCTGTGGGTGTGGTGCTGAGTCTGTAGGATGGCTGCTCAGCACCATCATCTGGCAAAGCAAGGGTTTGCTGACATCCCTGGAGCGAGACCACCTCAGAGGCGTTATGGAGAAAGGGTGCTAAGCATGTGGCCTCAGTGAGGGATTTTGACCTGAAAGGGTTTTTAGAAAAGGAAAGGGCAGCCCTTTGCCCTGGATCCAACTTGAGTAACGCACCAAGGAGCTGCTGAGCAGATCCTCAAAGCTTTGGGGTGGTGCAAACCTCAGCCACAGATCCTGCTGTGCTAATTATGGCTGACGGGCTCTGCTTCCGCCTAGGTGGTCCCTTCAGTGGCTTGGGAGAAGTCATCCACCGTGAGAGCGTCCCCATGCACACCTTTGCCAAATACCTGTTCTCTGCCCTGCTGCCCCACGATGCAGACCTGGCATACAAGCTGGCTTTGCGGGCCATGAGGTTGGTGCATGTTTTATTCCGTCTCTGCCCCTGTTTTGCCTCCCTCCTCTGCTCTGCCGGGAAGCCGGGATGCTTTACAACCCTAGAACAGGGATGGGAGCGGAGGCAGGCTTGGAGCTTGCTGACCCTGGCATCATCCTGTGGAGCGTGTAGGGCTGCCCGGGCACCAAGCAGCCGTGCGAAGAGATTCCTGCTCTCTGGGCAATTCCTGGTTGTCAATCTGTAGGGATTTGCATGGTAATGTCTGCTGGTCCAGCTCTCTGCCCAGCCCCTCGCCCCAGGCTGGACCGCCACCTGCCTGTCCTGGTGACAGGCCACCTCCGCCGGAGCAGGTCCCAGGCACGTACAGTGCTGTCATCTGCCTTCTGTCGGCCAGGCCTTGGGCACCCTGCAGGAAGGGCTGTTATCCCGGCAGAGATGGGCAGGTGATTGCCCCAGGCTCCAGGATGTCGCAGAGCCGGGCGGAGAACACAGTTGCGCTCTGTTCTCCGTTAAAGTCCAGCTCCATCTCTGGGACTGGGGACACGGCCGATGCCGAGAGCTGCCACATCTCCCTCCCTGGTGTGTGACACCCCTCAGACATCAGCCCCGTGTATGGCAGGGGCTGGATGGGTCTTGAAAAGACTGGAATTTCCCAAACGAGTCAATGCTTGAAGGACCGTCAACCCCAGAGCATTCCAGTGCCCTCTCCCTCTGACACCATTAAAAGTCCCAGTCCAGAGCATCATCTTTCTTACGGCATTTCCTCAATGAAATGGGCTATCTCTCCCCAGCGCTGGGGGAAATTTTGAA